ATATGCCAGAATTAATGTTCTTTAGTTGTTTCTCTAAAAAGGAAATCTACAGTATTTTTAAATGTAATATAACATTATGGCCACTAGATGGTGCTGAGGAGCATATACAATATTATCTAAGCTCCTTTAGCTCCATCTAGGGGTCAAAATGCTATATTACATGAAAACATTTGAAAATGAATTCCACTTTTTCTACAAAAATAAAGAAAGTTCACTTTGGCATATATTCATACAAAGCAAACGTTTATAGATATTCACAGGGGGAATGGGAAATTGTTTATAGATAGACCCCTTAAAGTAAAATAACAAAAATAAGAAAACATACATTTGTGAATTAGAGCAGTGATAAGATGACACTTAACAAAGCCTCCTCTATAGAAATTGTAGGTCCCGGGCACAGCAATTTTTATGGATTATATCACATTCACACTCAGAGGCTGGCACTGTACTAAACAAGCATGGGCCTTTCCCTGACTCCGAGGCCACCACAGCTGTTGGCCATAGTGGCACACAGCAGTCGAGGGAATCATTACAAGACATTATGGTTTCAAAGTAAAATGGCAGAAGCAAAAAAGAGAAGGTTTGTATTAACGCCTGTTCTTCCAGAGTGTCATTCAGAAAGTGATATTCTTTTAAAAATACATTACATGTACATATTACATTAAATGTACATATTACATTTGGTTAAGAGATTCTTTGATATGTAAAAGGGGAATGAAGGGAAAGTAAAACAGCAGTATGCAGCAATTGAAGTGTACAGTCTTATCTTTACATCAATGCATCAAGTACATTAACCAATACTGTCATCATTTTTAGGAAGCTAATTCCATTTTAGGGAGTTGTAAGGGAACTGGACTGGTTGAGTTGGTGTACACTTCCCTTTGCCCAGTTATGGACTCTGTACATTCCAAACTATTCTTAAGCCATTTGTAAAAAGTTATTCTGGTTCTATCTGGCTGCTGTTGGATATGTCAGGAAGAGCTGTTGGGAAAGCCTTCCAGAGTTCTCCATATAACATTCCTAAAAAATTCTAACAACACCTCTCAATTTGAAAGAGCCAACGCTCTACTATTTGACATTTCTGGCAGCCAAATAACTGCTGATTGTACCAGATCCTTCCACATCACTTTTCATAGCCATTGGTGGATTATAACAAGGGAAGAACAGACGGCTGCCTGGGGATTTCAGGATGCCCCACGGAGATGCAAAATAATTTCTGCACTTCAGTGCTATTTACAGTAAGTCAGTTTCATCTCTGAAAGTCTTTAGACTTTTTATTTTTAGAAGAAAGGAATAGCAATGACAGACTTTATATTACTCTGTGTAACAGCAGCACTGATGCCTATTTAAACCAGCCCTTATGTATGATCCAATAAAACTGGTGAGGATCCCACAAACTGAAGGTGCAATTAATCAGGCGCTATTCACAGTTCACAACTACTGGTGAGGATAGGAATGGAAATGGATCGGTCCAGTACAAGTCTTCCTACCATGGACTGTTCCAGCAGCAGCACTCACAAAACTGGAATAGAATAGGGTCACTATTCAATTTTCAGTCTAGTAATGTATTCAGTTTTCTTTGTCATTTATTGGCAGGGTCCTGAGGTAGAGACAATACCTGAACCTATGGCATTTTATAACTCCAACTAAAACCTTATTCTTTTATGGTTTGCGTAGAATGGAGAAGAGTTAGAAGTAAAACTTCTGTCAAGTTTTTATTGCTTAGTATCAGGACCGGTGCTGCCACTAGGCAAACTAGGGAGCCGCCTAGGGCGCACTGATGCCTAGGGTGCAGCCTTAACCACTTACCTCCCCATGGTGGCCTCCCCCTCTATTTCAATATGCAAAAGCCAGTAACAGGCTGGCTCTTGCACCTGCCCACTGAGCAGAGGAGCGGAACTGAGGAGACAACTTTCTCTCTCAGGTCCGCTCCTCTGCTCAGTTGCTGGTGTTTCAATAGCCAGTCTGCTATCTGCTAGCAGTCTGGCTATTGTCCCGGCTGCTTATATCCAACTATCGCCTGTGGAAGTTAGCCGGCAGGAGAATGGAGCAGCGCGCGCGGAGTGGAGGATTGGGGGCTGCGCCGCAGGAGGGGGGCTGGGGGGTGCAAGTAGCTAGTCTTGCCTAGGGCGCAAAATAGTCTAGCACCGGCCCTGCTTAGTATCCAGATGTGTCACCTGCACTCCCCATTGGACCTTAATTAACAATTGTGGTGCTCGCAGTAATAAACACGGATGGTGCCATGCGTACTAAACTTGTGGAAGATGAAGATCACCAGCACTCCAGTAGTAGAATTGAATCCTCATGCTTATTTATTAGCGTGATATGTCACAAACGTCATGCAGCCAACGTTTTCGGGGCCGCAAAGGGTCCCTTCCTCACGACGACATAGTGATAGGTCACTATGTCGCTCTAAGAAGGTACCCTTTGGGCCCCAAAACATTGGCTATGACGTTTGTGACCTATCACTCTAATAAAAAAGAATAAGGATTCAAAGTTCCTACTTGCCTGCTGGAGATCTTCATCTTCCACAGGGTTTTATTGATGTCTATTGTGGAGATTTTTTTTAAGGAATAAATGAAAGTGTGTCACTGGTACAAGAAGACACAGGCAACTAAAAATTTTGACAGAGGTTCTAAACTTTCGCTGCTCTACTAAAAAAATTAAAATAAATAAGAGACTTTCAGTCACTTTATCTCTGTGACCCTCTGCCACTGGGGCAAGAAGGGGAAATCTGTGCAATTGGTACAAAGTCAGCAATCAAAATATGACTTTTTAAACCTTTTTTCAATAAAAAGAAATGCTTATGCATTAGGTAGATTCATTTACAATGTGCTGCAGTAGGGGGCTGTCTAAATGGCGATCAAACTGAGGTATGAATAGAGTTTTAACCAGACCTTGATACAACTTTGTTTTAATGAGGATGGAAAACCAGGGGTCAGCGGCAAGGATGACCCCCATGGGCGCTAGCATGGGAAATAGGTTAGACAATTGAATTTATGACAGTGATTGAAAATTTAAGGACACCAGGAGCACAAGACAAGGAAAATGTAAACAGTATTGCTTTGGTGGTGGGACATTCAAGCTAAAATAGGCGTAGCAAATGCAATAATAGACATCAGTAAGAAATGAAATGACAATTAAGGGGCTAAATCTGAGCTTCTTTAGCATATAGATGTGACACAGCAATCCCTTGTAAACCAGCGGCTTACTGGGTGGAGATGCTACCCCAACTCCTCAAACAAAAGCAAGCGGCTTTAGTGTTCCAGCAGTTTCAGAGGTGTTTTTAAAAAGCGTCATATCAAGTCACATGTCTAGCAATTTTGCTCTTGAAAAGTAGTAAAACTTCTTAAATATGAAAAAGCCAAACTTAGGATATACTCAATAGCAATATGTCAGTGTGTCACTAAAAAAGCCCATTATACCTCTGTTATATTACTATTCTGCAGATAGAGAAGACAAAGCATGGACATCAGAAAATGGACCAATCAAGACATTTAATCAAAGACAAAAAGCTCAAGTTGTTATTTTTTATATTTTTTGTTACCTGTCAACTGTATTGGCAACAGCTTCTAGTTTTTCCAGAAGAAAGGGATAAAGAACAGGAAATCTTGAGAAGAATTCTCTCCCCGTCATTCTAAAAAAAACAATGGTTAATAAACGTCATACACAGTAGGAGGCAGGTAAATGTTCTTCCTCTGCTCATAGTAATTTAATTATTAGGGGCAATCGCTAATTGGAACAACGTAGAATTTGAGTTTGTTTGGTTTTTTTTCTTTGCTGACTAGCTGGCAAGTGTTCTTCCTCTGCTCGCAGTAATTGTTAGGGGCAATCACTAATTGGAACAGCGTAGAATTTGTGGTTTGATTTTTTTATTTTCTTTGCTGACTAGCTGGCAAGTATACTCGAACATTTTTGCATTGTACTTTCTGCAGTTCATTTCTGAAAGTGAATCAAGAATTTTGATTGTTTGCAAGGGGGAACAAGATATTGACTCGTTTCTCCTGCTGACCTCAACATCACCACTGTCTCCTGTAGTGTAATACGAAGGTCAGCAGGAGAAACCAGTAAGAGCTGTGAGGGATGCAGGAGATCAACGCTCATTTGGCTAAGAAATAAAAAGAATGCTACCAGAATTTTTTTTTCTTGCCCACGGCAACCAGTCAGCTTCCAACTGTTGTTTCTACAGTTCATGTCTGAAAACAAAACAAGGATTCTGACTGGTTGCAATGGGAAACAATATATTTTATTGTTAGCACACTTTTCATACATCAACCTCCATGAGTAATGTGCCTTTAGGGTTATACTAAAGAAAAAAAAATAGCCTCCTACAATGCAATATGACTGTTAATTTCATGTTCTACTGTGAAGCCTTAACCACCAGTGTCTGATTGTGGCGCCTGACCAAATACCTCTTGAACAAACACCACCATATGCAAAAACTGGCTTGTCAGCAGCAGCGGTTCTGTCTCCTTGTACATCACAAAAGCTGCTGATCTTTACATGGGCCCATTCACTGGAAAATGGTTTCTATCATCATTACAACATACCATTGTACACGTGATTGCTTAATGACAGCTTGAAGGGGTCGATTTTCCCACGACGATCCCATGTGAGCGGCTGATAATACGTGTACTTTATGCTGCTGCAATTTAGTGTAATTTAGACACTTATGCAGATGTATAATTTTTTTTAGTTACAGTCTTTAAACTTGACCCCTTCCTTTCGCCCAGACCTTACATTTGGGTAAGAACAAAAACACAATTCACCACAGGCAGGTCAGTGTTGGTTAAAAAATAAGGAACATGACTATTAGTTTATGAAACGTGGCTTCTTGATTCGTTCTCCTGAGACAGGTGGTTAAAAACGAATTAAAAACGCTTAGAAAGAGATACAGCTCTCATACTGTCAGAGGTCAAGTGTTTTGTAAAATGTTTCCTGATGAGTCAAATACAACGATTCACATGTGAGGGGGGGCACTGTTCAAAAGTTCCTCAGACCTCATGTGTCAGGCTTGCAGATGGGTGAGATAAGGTCCAAAGCAACCCTATTCCAGCTGGCATTAGCCTCCTTCAAAATCATACCAAACACGATTGGGTACTTAGGACAAAACCCTAAAACCCAACTCCAAATGCAGTTTCTGTTACCATATCCTTACCAGCGACATTTAGGGCTCAGCTATTATTATACAGGATTTATATAGCTCCAACAGTTTGCGCAGCACTTTACAATATAAGGAAGACATTATGATCGCAATACAATTCAAGATAAGATGGTGAGGAGGGCCCTGCCCCTGAGGGCTTACAATCTAAAAGGGAGGGGCAAGTGATACATGAGGAGGAGCTCATTTTACTCTTTAACCACTTGCTGGTGGCCATGTCATTAGGATTAATTGTGCTACTAAAATGGCTAGCAATCAATAGCTAGAAATAGCAATTGATTGTTGAACAGATGAAACAAACAGCTCCCTACGGAATTAGCTGCATAGTATTTATTATTTATATAGCGCCAACAATGTACGTAGTGCACATTTACATCAGTCCCTGCACTCAAGGAGCTTACAATCTATGGTCGCTATCTCTCATGGATACATACAGGGCCAATTTAGACAAGGGCCAATTAGCCTACCAGCATGTCTTTGGAGTGTGGGTGGAAAATCACACAAGCACAGGGAGAACATGCAAACTCCTTGCAGATAGTGCTCTGGGTGGGATTCGAACTGAGGACCCCGAGTGCTGCAAGGTAGAAGCGTTAACCACTACGCCATAATAATACAATTATAACACAACAAAAACTGGAAGACACTCTACCGCAACCAGAGGATGAATCCTTGCATAGTTTTTGGGGGGTGTTTTTGTACAGCCGACAACCCTGCCATATACAGAAATTTGGTTACCACTACTGTATGGACTGCTGAGCAAAAACACAAACCAGGTCTGCTCAAATCATGGTGCAGTAACCTAATTATAATTATTTATTGTGCAGAGCAATTATCACTCATGAGCAACGGGAATTATTTTACAATAAAACCATCTTGGAGGCATTCATTGTGTGCTGTAACAGATTCTAGTGGACCTGCGCCAACTTGCAAACACAAGTCTCTAGTTCTTTAGCATAAAATTCATCTGTATCTGCTTATACATCAGAACACCATAAAAGCAGATCGCTTGGAATGATTAACCCAGAGAAGTACATGAGAAGGCAACCATAAAAATCTCTACAAAAGAACACATAAGAGATAAAAATCTCTGTGACTCAAACAGGAAGAAGCACAAACCGATAAGCTTCAGACGCAAACACTGGCACGTACCCTGCGTTTTTTTTACAAGCCACAAGTCAGCAGATTATGAGAGTGCTGTCCAGAAAGCTTGTGTAAAAGCATTTTGCAAAGCAGGCTGGAGAGACGGGTCTGTTTACTTGTATATCAGATAAGGTTTTACACTTCTTTAGCACTGTAAACAGTGAGCCCCTCAGGCCTATGCTGCACAGCTGGATTTTTTGTAACTTAGTAGCTGGCCATACACTAGTAGAACTTTGTTCAAAATTTGGGGTTTTCAGAACATTTGGTTTATTTTCTAATACTTAATAGGGTAAAATCAACATTAATTTTTAACTATAGTGACGAATATGGATAGTGTATGGTCTGGGAGCAAACCCAATCAGCACAAAATGGTCCCTAGTGACTGGAAAAAAAAAAAAGAAATCGAAAGAGCAGGTTGGAAATGTTGCTCCAACAAAATTCTAACAGTGAATGTGGGTTCATTCGGGAAACTCCATTCATTCCAAAACTGAATGTTAATATCAAACAAAATTTAAAATAAAATTTGTCAAGTCTCTGTTGGCATTATTGATTATTATGATGAGATTATGCTGTATGAACGTTTGTACGGAAATCTACAAGCTTCCATTGAGTTACTAAAATCGTTACCAATAAAAATACATCCAAACATTCTTTGCAGCCACTTTCTGTCCACACTATATGGCTAAAAGTATAAGGACACATCTCCAAATTGAGTTGAGGTGCACAAAGCCACGTACATAAAAAGATGGTTTGGGAATGGGAACGGCGATTGTGAACCAAGTCCTTCAACATCAGTCCCTACCCTCACAAATATTATTTATTTTTTTTGGCATAATGGGCACAAATTCCTACAGGCACAATTCAAAATCTTAGGGAAAGATTTCTCAGAAGATCACAGGCTGTTAAAACCTCAAAGGAGAGGCAGCCTAGTAGTAATGGCCATGGTTTTGGAATGGGGTGTCCAACAAGTTCATAGAGGAGAGATGTTCAGGTGTCTACAAACTTTTGGCAGCATGGAGTACTTGAGCTCTGATGGCGGCTGCATGTCATTTGTGGTGTTACATCTATTGTATGAAAATATGATACAATGCATAGTTATGGTTAATATTCATATTAATGTGAATTGAAAAATTCTAGTTAATTCCTTAAAGGAGAACTATGAGGTGAGTGATTTTCACTCACCTCATAGTTCTAGCCTACCTGTGACAATGAGACTGTCACAGGTCGGCTCTGTAGATCGGGAGGTGAGTGAACACATACCGGCGTTCGCTCACCTATCGATCCTGTCACGGCTCTCTGCCGTGACAGGGGAGGGGCTGGATTCCCCCCTCCCTGCTCCGATCCGCCAGCGCTGACTGGCGGAACGGACAGGGGAGGGTACAGCTGGCTCTGCCTCTAGATAGACAGAGCCAGCTGTCAGTCACGCAGCTGGGCGGATCCCGGCACAAATGTCGGGATCCGCTTCAGCTGCGGCGTCTCAGTATACCGCGAGCAGCAGCTCACGGTATACTGCGGCGTCTCAGTATACCGCGATACTGAGCCTAGGGTGACGGGAGGATGCTAGTTTGTGTCCTCCCGTTACCCTAAGGAGAACTATGGAGAAAAGCCTTAACCCCATAGTTCTCCTTTAAGCCATGTATTATGAGCAGTAGTATTGCTGATTCATGTGCTGTCATCTTGTGATCATTTTGGTTATTGCACCATCTTTTCTGTATTCCCTCCCATTTTATGATGCATTTCCCCTTTCTTTTTGCATTGCCTTTTTGGTATCATGGCTGCTTGTCTCATGGCCACATGTTAATATGCTCGCATGGGGAAAAGCATTACCGTCGTTTGACCTGCAAATACAGTATTTCTAATCATCTGCTGCATCCTGTTGTCTGCTGAAACCTGCTGCAATCAATAAAGATCTTTGTGGATGAAAAGGCATATAGTTGCTAAGGACAGGCTTCCTTTAGGTGACAATGACAGACATTGCCTGCCCTGCGTATTAAGCATAGGCAAGACTATTTAAAGTCTCCACTAGAGCTATATGTGACAGAGCAACGATGCCGAGCACTCCAGGAAAGCAAGCTGGAACAAAGACCTTAATGGAAAAAAATCTATTTATTTAAATGAAAGCTGGAGATTTAAAATGATTGATCATACATACTTCTGATCATACAATAACATGCAACAGATTTGTGAGATTTTAGTAATTGGGTTTATATCTACTTATTGCTGAAAGGTAGCCAATGCTTGCCCAACAAATGAAACAAGCGGCTCCTTATAGTTTAAGCTAAATAAGTAGCATATAGAAGAGATTCATTATGCACTTTGGTAAAGAACTACATTGA